TGCATGTGCAGGCATCCACACACACGCTAGCACCAAAATTAGATTAGATTTGTAAATAATGGTGAAAAATATATTAGAAACACAATACAATATTGCCAAATATAGTCTTTTGGGGCAAGGTGGGCTGGGGGAGAAGTTCATTTTAAGAAAATCAAAGAAATGTAAATGTAATTTATGGTCACTTCACAGAGGCTGACAAATGGAATAGTTAAGAGTAAGGCCACAGAGCCACACTTGAGTCAAACACTGTCTCTGCACTAACTGGTGAATGACTTGGGCAAGGCATGGACCTCTTTGTGTTTGTGTCTCAGCATCTGTAACATAGGGGTAAAAGCAGTACCTGCCTCTGAGACTCCATACTGTAGAGCGCTTAGACCAGTACCTGTCATACAGTTAGTTCCCAACAAATGTTAGCTGATGTCATCTTCTTTCACTATTTACAGTAAGTCTTTTGCTCCCATTTTGCAAGGGAAAAGCATATTCTTTTCATTTTAATTTAAATTCTAAAAGTTCACTTTTGTAACAAAACAGTCCCTTTTCAGTTTATTAGCAAATAGTAAACATTTTTCTCTTTATCTAATTTGCAGAAGGTAAAAAATTTTCTGAGAAACTTCCTTGGAATTTATTTTTAAAACTGTGATTTTTCATGGGGCTGGCTGGTTAGCTCAGCCTTGTAACAGCAAGGTCAAGAGTTTGGTTCCCCATACCAGCCAACTACAAAAAAAAAACAAACTCTTTGATTTTTCTTTCACTAATTTTCTACAGAAGGTAAAAATGTATTTGTAAAATGTATTAAGTTTTAATTTTTCTAGACTATTATCAAGGCAACAATTACCCTNGCAAGGCACTGATCTAGAGATTAGAATGGGTTTAATTTTACCCCCAGCTCTAACCCCCATCTGGCACTTTTTTCTGGAGGAGTAAAAACACAGGCAATAGAATCTATTGATAGGGAGACTTTAGCTGTTCATGATATATGAAGCTAGGTATCAGATATTTGCTAACCAGGTAAGCTTTTTACCAAGAAAATTATTGCCTTTTTCCCCCAAATAATTCTCAAGAGTTTATTATTAATAATGTGAACCTAACCAGAAATGGTCTCTCCCCCCTTTTATAATCATAAATCTTGCATTGGAGAGACAAAGTATGATGGGATCTATGTGAAAATAATTTAGTTAAATAGCCATACTTCGCATATCAGTGGACTCCATGCAAATAAATGTATACATTAAAATTGGACGGCACTTAAGGAGATTTAATAATTCATCCAATTCCCTCTGCAAATAAAAGAACCAAAGCCCCATTTATGCAGTTGCTAAAATATGGCAGATAATGATGCATTCATATTTAATATCACTAATAAATTTGGAAGTTCACATTTTTATTGATGAACATTTCCTTGAAATGCAGTCTAGGAGGACAGATTTTTACATTTAAGTACTTTATAAGTGAGAATTGTAGATAGTGATGTGATTAGTGGTGATGCTGTGTCAAGAGCCCTCTACCAACTTACCTGCAGTCTTTCAAGCACTCAGCAATGATTTTCGTATTTCACTTTTATGTGCAACCAAATTGCACACAATTTTAGGGAAGAAATAATCATGATAACTGAGTAATGATTGTAGTAAATATTGCGCTTCTACTTGTTGACTTAAATTACATACTTAAAATATTTCTAACTTACATATTCTAACTTACATATTGAAATATTTTGCCTATAGAATTTATGTATAGAAGAAATAAGTCTCTTATAAAATTATCTCTTTGACACACACCTAAAGGGTATGTTGTACAATCCAGACAGTTTGAGGTCTAAAATTATTTTCATTCCTTGGAAGTCATAAAGTCTCAAATATTTCCATCTGCATAGACTTTAATGAAATATCATATAGCTCCGGACACCCAAAGAATTCTTTCCTTTTTGGGTGAGTTCTCTCTAAAATTCCAGAAAAAAAATTTGAGAAAAACGAATTTATACCTTATAAATAATATTCCAGGTTTATCTTAAAAGGGCATAGCAAGCTAAATTATATTTTTTGTAATGAAAGTTTGCCATATTTAATTTCTATACAG